GGTTATTACCAAAAATAATTATACTTGTGTTTCTTAATATTCAATTACAATCACTATAAAGATTTTTTTACATCATATAAAATGTTTTAGAAAATTTTGTTTTTGAAAACAAAATTTGAACAAAACTATTTTACTGATCTATCAACCAATAAAAAACCATATTTGTGCCAGGAGTGGTGGTGCACACCTGTAATCCCAGCACTCGGGAGGCTGAGGCAGAAGGATCACTGAGTTCTAGACCAGCCTGGACTACAAAGTGAGCTCGAGGCCAGCCTGAACTGCATAAAGAGACCCTCTCTTAAAAAGACAAAAAAAAAAAAAAAAGTATTAGTGGTCAAAAATAAAAATATTCCAAAAAATATATATAGCTGGGCGTCATGGTGAATACTCGTACTGGAATACAATACTCTCATAAACCTAAGGCAGAAAAGATCCCAAGTTTGGGCCCAGCCTGGGTGATTTGGTGACTCAGTGAGACCCTAAAATTTTCAAATTTTAAAAGGGCTAAGGATGTAGTTCAGCATAAAGGCTCAATTACTCGTTTAGAAAAAAAAGAATGTAATTTAAACTATTCATAGTGCTCCTTTCGTTCTCAAAAATGTTCCAGTTTGAGGGGCTGGGGACATAGCTCAGCAATGCACTGCCTGCCTGGCAAGCACAACGCCTTGAGTTTGATTTCCAGTAACCCCCCCAAAAAATAGTTCCAGTTTGAATAAAAAAATGACAGTCACCTACTTACAAACAAGAAAGCAAATGAAATGTTTCCTCCATAATGAAGAGTTACTACCCAGAAAAAAATTTATACATATTAACAAATTCTGGGTTCCAAAATGTATCTTATTAACCATCACATTACAGATTCATTGGTGACTGCATAAACACATATATGAGATGGCATCAGTTTACTAAGGTGTTCTAAAGTATACTTTGCGCTGGTAACTATACTAGAGCAATACAGCTATGTAAGAATGGAAAAAAGTCATCCAAATTGCCAAGTAACTTACCAAGCAAGATGACTGAAGAGTGTTTTCGATGTGTCTCAGTAAAAAAACTGACTTTTGTTGTTATCATTGGACTATAAATACAATTAATTACCTTTTAGGTTTCAAGAAAAATCACAAATAATGAAAACACAGGAAAAAAATCTGCAAAAGTGATCACAGTGTGGTGTATGCCTGCAATCCCAGAACTCAGGAGGCTGAGGCAGGAGGATCATTGCGAGATTGAAACCAGCCTGAACTGCACAGCAAGACCCTGTCTCAAAAAGATCCAAAAAAAAAAAAAAAAAAAAGATCACAGTGATTATCTCTGGATAATGAGATTCTGAATGGTTTTTGTATTTTTATATTACTCTGCATGTCTCTGAAAACATTTTTATAATAAGCATGTTCCACTTATATAATGACAATGAAACAATAGTTATTGTCAATATAGGGAAAATATAAAAATTCAAGAATGTGATCACTATACCAAACATATGCACTTTGATGAGATGATTGCATATGATCTTTTAGCAACTACATTTCTAAAGGAAAACATTTAAACTATAGTTGTCAAAATCAAACTGACCTTTTAAAATGCTGTTAGTATAATTTTAAAGAAATTTTATCCATTATCAGTTGTGACAGTTTAAATATTCATAAATGTATGAAAATTTTCCTCTAAGTAGTCAATTGCTATTTACTACATAGCCTAAATGAAGGTAACATAGTGTTCCAGTGTGAGGCTTGGCCATATGACTTACTTTGATCAGTAAAATGTATTGTAGTTCTAAGTAGAACCTTTAACAGCTACTATTTGTTTCTGACAGCTCTTATTCTTTTCTCTCTGCCAGCCGAACAATATGTCACAAACAGAGACTGATCCTCTAGCCTAGACCCTAAAATAAAAAGAACTGCAGAGCAGTTCCACAGCTAACTCCTTGGGACTCTATCTACAATGTGGGCAATAAATAAACATTCTTACTGCAGCATAATCTAGCAAGAGTTAACACAAAAGGCAATTTAACACCAAAGTATATTAGGTAGCAAAAATCAATCGATCAGTCAGCTCTAATTACTGGGAAAATTCACCAGGTAGTAATGTTACGTTAAGAGTTAATTCGGGAGGGTGGGCCCCCAGCGCACAGGGAGCCTCGGGCGGGAGCGATGGTCTTTGGACCAGCGACTCACACCCAGCCTTGTGGTTCCCCGGAAGGAGGGCTTCCGGCACACAGGGAGCTGCGGGTGGGGAGCGCCAGCCTTCTGGCTGGCTATCTTCCTGCCTACTGGCTCCCGGAGGGTGGGCCCCAGCACATGGGGAGCCATGTGCCGGCG